TCTCGTCGGCGTCTCGGTATTGCGCGTTCAGTCACTGGACCTCTCAACTCGGTTCTTCCACCTTGATAGTGGAAATGACGACAATGGAGACGGTTGGGATTTCACCTGCTGCGGAGAGTCTCCTGTTATGACTGAACAACAAGGGTCGGGATGGCTTGGCACTCTCGACTTTGAAGATCCGGCCACTCCTCGTGCTACTCCGAAGACATTCACCCCTATCACTGAAGCCCTTTCTACCTCTCCGGAAGCCGTGGGTGTCTTAGGTAGCCCATGGTGTCCTAATCCTAATTGGGAGCAAGCGTGGGACGAAGCCGCGGCGAGTCTACCACCACCTCTTACTTCGTGCGGTTGGTCCCCAGCTTCAGGTGAAGCTTCATTAACTTCACCTAGCTCGTCACAAACCTTCCGAGAGATTGGCCTAGCTCCACTTGCATCTTCCTTGGCCTCACCCGAGACCATTTCATCAATCTATTCCCCCTCCCCTCCAAACCCTTTTGGAGTCCTGGAGGCTGGTTCAACCCCTTCCTTGGAAATCTCAATCGATACAATTTCCACCCCGATCATGAAAGATTTGGATAATGCGAAAATTGTACCTCAAATCCGACATCAAATGACGTTTTATAGTCATCGTAGTGTATAGTGCTCAAGCTTTTGGTCAATTCAGTAGCCTATTTGTTTTGTGAACTTTTTGCTTGTTTATGTTCAATCACTTCAACTTATACCTCAGTTTTTGTCTGTGTTGTAGTTTTTTTCTTTTTGGTTTGTACAATCTTCCTTCAATATATGTATGTATAAAAGGAAGGATTAAGATATTTTTAGGAAATATGACTGGGAATCTTTGATGAATTCCCCTTTCTCATTCTTGAATTGTAATGCGTTGGTACCATGTTTTTTTGGAAGACTTCAACTTGAGAAAGAAAGCGGGTGGTCTTCAAAACCCAAATTGACCGAGTTCTGATAATTGTTACCACTGTGGCTTCAACTATTATTCGAACTACCCCTCGAGTCTCTTTCAATGATTGGTTTGTGTTTTCATCACTCTCATTGGGTGTGTTTGTCCTTCCCATAAATGAGAAAGGACATGTTTTTTGACATAGACATCCAAAAAAAGCCAATAATATTCAGTTCGATTTGCAAGGCTCGAAAAAGGATTTGGTCAGATGAAAAATATATATTCTGAGTGGAACTTATTTTGCATTACACACAACAGGCAAAGGCATGGCTGCACTCCGGTACATTATCACTTATTGACGATCGATTCCACGAGGTGGAAGGATGTCTGCATAAGCCTAAGCTCATTGAATGGGGGGGGTCATTCTTGAAGTTTTATGTCATTCTTGAAGTTTCAGAAGATGCCCACAGGAACATGAGATCATAGGAACAACAACCAGAGTCAAGCAAGTAGAAGCAAAGCGATCAAAACAACGAGAGTAATTGACAGGGATCATATCATAATCTAGCTCGCGAGAAAGACCAGACTGTAAGAGTACGAGAGCAATATTCAAGAAACTAAGAAACAAACGCGCGAGATGGAAATTAGACACAGAGCTCCTACTAGAGAAAACATGTGAGCAAAGGTGGGTGTACCCTTACAATATCTCTTCGCATTAGTATACAATGTGGTTTCCGTTTATCCACATCAATTACAACAGCCCATGGCTGGACATCGTGAATTGGGAGTCTGACATTCCACAGAGTTACAGAACCCGCAGGCACTCTGCCCACTACAAATGGAAAACAATACTCAGATCAGTCAGAAAATTTAGGGACAATGTTAGAGACTAATGCATCCTCATACAACCTCAACTTACGATCTCTTTCCGAATACTTCGACCACCGCAGCTCTTCTTTGAAGGACGGTGTTGTCGGTACTACTGTCAATCATATAACACAATAGGACACAATTGAGCATATAAAACAGAGTTATATATACCAAGTCTTCACTCACATAGAGTCCTTTTCGAGTGGTGAGGCGGAGACGGTGACTGTTAAGTAGACGGGGAGGGAGGTAAGTATGAAGGAAGAAGTAAATAACATATTAGGGATCATGAGTCAACCAACCAGCTAGGGCAGCAGCAATCACTAATTTTAAGAAAAGCATGATGAGTATTGCTCTGAAGAGTAATGAGAAAACTTGGTTTTAAAGAGTTGATTGGTAAGATTTATTGGTAAGATTTATTTGGTGGGATGAGGGATGAGGAGGACGAAAAGACCGGGGTTCTTATAGATTTTTGGCCAGCTGTGATACATGGTTTCCCAGTGAGGAAATATTCAATGAACACTGCGTCACTGGAAAGGTGCCGTTTCCCGCACGCATGTCACGTCAAACTTGCGTTTTCTGAAATATTTGCGAGGGTTGAACAGATATTGTTGTTCGGTGTTCGCGACATCGGAAGGTAAAGTTAACCAAGTCCCACGAGGAACTTACAGCCGTTGTGAGAATCATCGGTAATTTTTTTTTCTTTTGTGTTGTGTCGAGTTTTAATCGGGATCTGGCAAAAACTAAAAAAATCCTTTTTTCTCTTTTTTGATCTTGCCTACCGTGAGATCAAATAGTTTCCTTTGACATTTCTCCGAGTCGACGGGTCTCACGATTTTCATAAATACATTTTCAAACCCCTTTTTCGAAACCCTTTGTACATATAAGTACAAAGGGTACAAACCCCATTCAGTTTTCAAATTCCCCAAATTCCCAACCATCCTTCCTAAATTCTCCAGTTTCTCCTCTTCCTCCCGTCGCCACATCCAGATTTCAAATTCCTCCGTCTTTTAATATTCATCGGTCTTTTCAAATTGCTACATACTAGAGTTTTCATTCTCTTTCGTCTCAGATCAATGTTTCTTCTTTGACCTCCTTCAAAGAAACCTTTTCGAAGATTATATCAATTCCAATATCAACATGCCGAAGAACTTGTACAGTACGGACATCAAATTGGTCGTTTTACGGATGGTCTTGCGAGGTTTGACTTTCCCCGAAATTGTACGGGCCACTGGAATGGATCTCTCTCTTACGACTGTCCGTCGTTGGTTCGAACTGTATCGGACGACTCGTGCTGTGGTCACTAATCCAATGGACCTGATGCAACCCGGCGCGCCATCGGCTCTAGGAGACCCTGAGAAAGAATTTGTACTCGAAGCCCTTGAACTCGATCCAACCCTTTATCTCGATGAGCTCCAGGCAAAGATTCGAGATACTTTTGGAAGGACTGTTTCTCTGAAGACTCTCTCGACGGAACTGCGATCTCGACTTGCTTGGACTCGTAAAAAGTCCCGCACCGTACATCCCAACCAGTCAGCAATCGCCCGTGGTGCTTATATAGAGGAGATTTCTCAAATAGATCCTCGGTGCCTTGTGTTTGTCGGTAAGTCTGAGCAGATCAGTGTAATCTTCAATTTATGACTCGTACTAACTTCTTTCTTTGTGTCAGATGAAACTGCTATCTCCAAACGTCGATTATATCGAACCCATGCACGAGCTCCCCTGGGTAAACGCACACCACGCCTCCAAAGGCCTACCCAGGCTTTCCGATGGTCAGCATTGCCTGCGATCTCAATGGATGGCATAGTAGCCATGTCAGTACAACCGGGAGGCTACACCAGGCTAGATTTCGAGTCTTTCCTGGAACACGACTTGGTACGTATTTTTGGTCTTTTTACTTTGCTTTGATGTCATTACTTAGCCTGATTTGTCCGTTTTACAGCTCCCAGCCATGAACCCGTTCCCAGCTCGGAACAGCGTTCTTGTCATGGACAACGCGCCTATCCACCATGGCGGCAGAGTGGAAGAACTATGTGCCGCACGTGGTGTGAGGCTCGTTTATCTACCTGCCTACTCCCCGGATTTCAACCCTATCGAAAAGGGGTTCTCGGTCCTAAAGTCAAGACTTAGACGCTCTCAAGTCTTGCAGCAGGCTTTGGCTGCCGAAGACGAGAGAGAGGCCCTCTTCGTGGCTTGTATGGAGTTATTCACGGAAGAAATATGTGAAGGGTTTTTTAGAGGAAGCGGTTATGTGTAATCACATAATCTCAGTTTTTTTCGTATTATGATTTTGAAGCTTGAGTTTTTAAACATGGTATCTGGATGATGGCGAAAGAAATGATCACTTACAATATGATGATGGTAAAAGATTTACCCGACCATTTAAAATAATACACGTTTATAAATGGTCATTTCTTTTTTTCTACAGAAATAAAAATTATACAAGGATTTTTCAATCAAGATTGGTTGTGCTCGTTTAGTTTGGCTTTTCTTACTGGTTCTTTTTTGTTTGACTTATTAATTGACTCGAAAAAGAATTGAAGTGTCTACATTGGTTTGGCTCGTGTTGTTTTGATGTGACTCTTTGTCTGGCTAGTTTGGTGTTTCTTTGACTTATCAAATGATTCAAAAAAAAAGTATTGTTTTCCTTTGACTTATCAAATGTTTCGTATCCAATGAATCAAAAAAGAATTAAATTGGCTACATGGTTTTGGCTCGTGTTGTTTTCATGTTGCTTTTGGTCCTCCTAGTTTTGTTTTCTTTGTCTCATCTGATTCGAAAAACAAATCCTGTTTATCTTTGCAAAAAAAGAAATACATACAATTGGATTTGCTCGCTCATATCCTCATGTCTTTATAATATGATGTCTTATAGAGAATAAGATAATATCTTATAGAGTAAGACATTATTCTTTCAAACTTGCTCGCTCATATCATGATCAGATACTATATGGTATTAAAGTACATGTGGGAATTTGTCAACTAAAGAAAAGACCTTATTTATTTATCTTTAGATAATGATTAGATTTGATCTTCTAAAGATGAATAAGGTCTTAATTTTTCACGTTTTGAGATTTGTGTTGTGAGATGCTTTCAGCGGAAGGTAAGGTCTATTTACATAAACTGCCTTATCTCAAAGATTCGATTTTTGAGATGAGCAAATTTAATCTCAAGTGGCTCATGTGGGTTGGCAAGTGTGGGTTGGGAAGTTCCAGTCAAAAAAATCTTTTTATTGGTGTGCAAGTTCCTACAAATAGGGGGTAGCACGAAAAACAAAGAAACAGATGATAGGGGGGAGCACAAACAGGAAAGAAACATAGAAAGTAAAATCTTTCATTCTTTGGGGGTTGCAAGGTTCTAGAAAAAGAAAGCAGGAAGAAAGACAATCAAACACGTATAGTAAACTCAAGACATTTGTTTGGTTGGGAGCAGCACGGAAGAGACAAACAGCACACGAAAGAGACAGATTCAATCACATAGTTGTTCTGGGGTTGAAATGAGGAAGCTGCGAAAACTAAGAAGCATTGATTACAGACGCAAGTTCTGAAAATTTTTGAGATAGTCAAAAACACATGATTAGACAGTTCAAAATTCAAAAACACTTGATTAGACATTTCAAAATTCGGGGGATGGAGGGCGAGGGGTTGACTCGTTCGATTCCACAGACTCTTGCTCTTCAAGCTCGTCGATATCCTTGTTGAGTTCTTTGACGCGATCCATGGCTTCGTTGACGAGATGTGAGGCCAGAGCAGGGTGCATGCCGCGGGTAGTAAGTGATGATTCAGTGAACTGGTGGCTAGGAATCAAGTCAGTCCATGATTTGACGTTGGCTCGTTCGAGAATCATTCTGGTGGTCTCGTCATTGGGTGGGACATTGCAATGGACTAAAAATCGCTCTAAGGCTTCAGCATGAGCTCGATGCGGGTCCTCCGAGGTGCCAGGAGTGTTGGATCGAAAGATTTCATAACCTACGGATGATAGAGGCCAATCCAAGCGGATATTGGTCAGCAGAGGCTCTTTTGAAAGGAAATCACACACAAAGTGGTACATACCTGTATCTTTCGGTATGTCCTTTTGGATTTCTTGAGAAGACTCGAATAGGCTAGGAGAAGGGGGATCCGAAGATATCACAATCGTCAAGCGTTTGGAGGGGGAGCCTAAGGATTGAAGAGGACATTTGATGTCATGATCAGTCATTACACCGAAGGAATGACCAGTTAGCAAAAAGAGATCCGTACCTGGTTCTTTTTTGATTTGTATCTTGCATTCTTGAGACCAAGGAAAACCGGTAGCGGACGGTGGATCTGAGGACAGATGGATAGAATTGGGTAAGCCAGGTGGAGAGCCTACAAAGATAAGAGGTTTGAAGGATGTAAGAGTAAGTCCAAACATATAAGAATAAAAACGTACTTGGTTCGATTTTGACCTTTTTCTTCTCATCTTCAGAGGCCAAAGATAAACCGGCATAAGAGGCAGATCTTTTGGAACCGGTAGGTTTTTGAAATAGCAATTTCGCTGGAGGATCAAAAAAAGATTGGCGAGATCCGCCCGATTTGTGAAAGGTAGGAGATAAATCAAGGCGCAATTGAGCGCTGCGCATCTTGACTCGATCGTCAACTTTGGTGCCCTTATGGAACACACGCGCCTTCTTCATGATCGCCAGAAATTCGTAGGTTCGGGGTGGAATCTCGCGAGTTGCCATGCCAGATTGCTGTCAAGCACCAAGCAGTGGATCTTGAGTTGAAGACAAAAAAAACAAGGAAGGGACATACAAAGGACTTACAACACCTTTTGCCCAGACCCACGCCCCGCTGTAAGTCAATCGGTAAAGAAAATTTGGATCCCAAGGGCAGACCAGGATGGCGCCATCTCCGGCGTTCGCTTTTTGAGTATGTTCATGGAACAGTTGGGCCGCCAACTCGTGCAATCGGATTTGCTTACGGGCATCCTGGTTCCACACGCAATGTCAGAGGACATGTCGAAAGCATCACAACCGAAAGCGGGAATGGAAAAAAGGGAATGGGGGTCACGCACCTCTAGCTCTTGAGTAAGAACACCCACCTGCGCTTCTGCAGCAGTGGGGCCGCTGGCTGAAGCGATGAGCTCTTTCGCCGCGGAGGTCTAAGAAGTATAGAAATATAAAAAAGAATCATGAGAAGAAGAAAAAAGGGAATAAGAAACATAAAACTTAAAGGACACACCTGAGCGTCCTTTTTGGCTTTTTCCTTGGGATCTTCGGTAAAAATCATGACCGAACCTTTGTGCTTCGTTGCTCTCGCAAGTAAATCAACAAAGTTTTGCCAGGTTAGATGATCAACCAGCGTGATTTTTTCACGTCCAACCTGAGCAACCCAGACCAAGCGTGGAGCAAGATCGCTTGCGAGTACCAATTGGCGCATGCCAGATTGATACTCATCACAAATATCTCCACACATACCTTTGAAATCTTTGAGAGATTTCCCGAATAGGCACTTCACCAGCTCGATCACATTGCCTTGATTAAACATTTTCGATTCAATGAGGTTGTAGCGCGCCGCAGAGGCTGCAGCGCGGCGTGATCTGCTAGCTACCTTCATCGAAGTGGCCTGGACTTCGACTTCCTTTTCAGCATGTATTTTGAACTTCACCTGAACAAACATTTCATTGCGTTTATTGAATTGCATACGAGGGACGGTACCAACGCGGTAAAGTGGGTTTTGTTGACTGCAGGTGGCTGGAGCGTCGTCACCAGTCAGATTAGAAGGCAGTTCAAAAACTGACACAAAAAGGATTTCACATTAGTAAAATGAAGACATGTCAGTTCAGTCAGAGGAGCTGACTTACGTGCATTCATGTGGCCTTCCACTTCAACAGCAGGCACTACTGAGGCATCTGGGATTTTGGATTGTTGGTTAGACATCGTAGATGGTTGATCTGATATGTTGTCGAGCTGATCATAAGATAAAGATGTGATTAGAATCAAGAGAAAAAGCTTATAGAGAGAAAAAGCTTATAGAGATGCGAATAGAATATGAAAAAGAGATGGAAACTAACGCACGGATAACAAGACAGGGGTGGTGTAAAGGTGATGTAAAAGTTGAAAAGGAAAGCTAAAGGTAGACTTTGATGACCCAAATTCGAAACCTGGGAAATCACAAAGGACCCATTGGTCAGAAACGGTATGAAACAAAGCAAAAAATAACCAAACTGAAACAAAGCAAAAAAATCATAAAAATTGATTCTTACTGGCTGAGTTCGATGGAGAAGAACGAAGATATGTGCCAAATGCACGAGTATTTATACCTTTGGGCTTCATCAATGATCCCCGTTTTCTCATATGATATCATATGATATCATATGCATATGAGAGTGTTTGTCATTCGTAGGTGGCGATAATGGACATGGGGACCCAAAGACAAATTAAACACAAGGTTAGAATCTAGAATGTTCGGCATCAGATAATAAAATGAATGCTTACCTTCATCGATTCTCGTTCAAATCTTCGTTGTTTTGCTGTTTGTTACAAACCAAAAACACAATCGACATTGTTAACATTCATACCAAATGACAACAACCCTCATTTAAAGTCTGTTCGAAAGGTTGGAAATGAAACTTTGTTTGAAAATTCAGTTGATGAAGAAGGTCAGTATCCGTGTTCCTTTCATACTCAAAGACAATAACACACATTCAAAGGCCTAATCGAAATCTTCGAATCAAAACAACCATGCACCCTCTTTCGATGAACGAAAATTTAGACTCGATTTCGGTTCCGTTTCCATGCCGATGTGGATAGATGCGATCGATTAGTGTGATTGTTCAGTTTGGCAAAGAGAAACATGCCTATGTGAGTCGAAGAACCATTGTTCAGTTTGTTTGAAATGCTTGGCAAAGAATAAGAAATTTACGTAACAAAGAATCATGAACTTACGTATACGTACTTTCTTCGAATGGCGTAAAGGAAGCGAAATGATGTCGATGTCCAATTGAAGTGTCGAAGTGGCGACCGGAGGATGGTGGAGGTTGGTATGTTGGAAATGAAGTGGAACTGGAAGGAGAAGCCGGCCCAACAGCTTTCGAAGCTTCATTGGATCCTTGAATGACAGAAAGACGACAGCTACGAAGACTTTGAAAAGTTAAGTTTGAAGGAACCAAAACAAGGTTTAGTCCCGTGAGATCGAAAAAAACTGACTTTTGGACCGCAGATTAAACCCTAGTTAAATCTGGGAAACACACAAGAGCTCAAAACTTACCGATGATTCTCACAACGGCTGTAACAAAAGTTAACAAATCTCGCCTCGTGGGACTTTGTTATGTAAATTTACATAATCGGGAAGACACCTGTGGATCTAAATCATAGTGCACACACGTAAAATTTGAGTGAGCTATTCTTAGGGGATTTCGAATTGGAATTTGCAGTTTTTATTAAACTTATCAGAGTCCCACGCTCGCGCCTACTCACGCCTCGCGAGTAGGGGGGAGCGTGGGACTTTGATAAGTTTAAGTTTTTATGAACTTCCGCGTTGTACATATGTAGTGTGAGTTTACGTAAATTTTACGAAAACGCGAAATAAATAGTCTAAGAATATCCTGAGGAACTTGAACCCCTCCTGTTTTTTTGTTTTTTTGCTATATGTCACGTTGTTTTGTATGTAACTGGTCCCTTGTAACGGCTGCAAGGAAAAACGCGTGCCACACACATTATTTTGCACTAGTTTTGTGAGCAAAAAAAAGATGAGGGGGATGAGTTCCTTGGGATTTTTTTGCACAGCCACAAGCGTGTAAGAAAGACAAACATAAGTCACCTTTGGTCCGAGAAAAACCACACACGGGATAAAAAGTTTTATAAGGGACAAAAGATTCCTCACCAAAACTTTTTTCCCCTCACAGGCCCAAGTGTGCCAGTTTGTCATAAATCCCTTGCTCAACTACTTGTGAGGAGCAAGCGTGGGACTTTCTTGATATGATCAAAGAGCCCTGGCATTTATAACACCAACAATTGATAAAAGTTCTGGTGTTGAATTGTGTAGCAATAGAGGTGAGATGTAGGTGTGTGTGTAAATGGTATATTGTGTAATAGGAAGCAAGAGGAAAATAAATTCTTACTATACCCTCTCCTAAGAGCACCCACTATGGTAGAGGTGTTTTCTTGTAATTTTTGCGGTCCCGACCACAAAAATTAATTATGCGTGTAACAACTAAATCAGTTACCATATGAAATTTACTATGGTGTGATTTACTGTGTGATTTACCAACGATCAATCACTATGAATCAAGTGATCCCACAGTGGCAAAGTCACAAATTGAAATATCATATCTGTTTAACATGATACATCCAGAAAAACCCATCTCAATGCTTGCTTCAACTCTCTTGAAGTCTTCAGATGATGGCAAGGAGCAACAAAAGTATGAGCAAATAGCCTTCAACACCCTCTTCAACAAGCCTCCTTCACCTCCACCACCTCTCCGGATTTGTATCCGCATAGATCAAGACTGTGTCCAACGCAGTGAACAGCTGTACAACAATGACTTTGCACCTAATGCCACATACAAATCAAAGTTTGAACGTCAATTTTGAATGAGCCAATCAAGTGGGGAGGTTAAGTGTTAATGAAATGATGAAGTATGGGATTTGCAGAGTCAAGAAAACAAGCAACAGTTGAGATTTGATGTGTCAATCAAATCTTAAGATAAAACATGAATCAAGCTTGTGTAAAGTTAGACAAGCTTGATTCATGATTTGATGCAGTCGTAGGGACCGCATATCTAAGAAAGGTCCATAGTGGACCTGTGTAAGATTTAGCAGTAAACTTACAATAAAACCAATGTTTACCGCACCCATAGTGGATGCTCTAACAGCTTAGAATAGACTTAAGAAATTCACACACTTGCCTCAAGGGAGGCTGAAGCATGCAAGGGACTTACACCAAACTTGTACTGTCCATGGCCATAATTTATAGTGGTTGAGGGCGGAGCAAATTATTGCGCAGTCTCCGCAACACAATGGATGGGGCCCAAAATCCATAGCGTTGCGGAGCGGTTGCGGTGTTGTCGTGGTAGAGGCTTTTGCATGGAGCCTTCTCAATTTTCTTTTATCTCATTCCACACCAAACATTCAGGCATGGTCCAAAGAGAAGAAGTATGTGCCTTACTCTGGCACATATTGTACATTTTCTTTCACCAAGGAAAGCACTCTTATTACACAGATAATAGATGAAGAGAATCAACGATTTTTGCCAACACTTCCCATTAGCAGTGGTTACATGTGTGGTTTACGTGCACAAAAGCTATTGAAGCCAAAAATTTGGAGCACTTTTGTTCATGGAGGGGAGCAATTTCCTTGGTGAAAAATCTGTACAATATGCGCCAGAATAGGGCACATATTTTTTCTCTTTGGACCATACCCAAATCCTTGGTGTGGAAAAAGATGAAGGGGATCGAAGGCAGCTCCCTGCAAAACCCTCTACCGCAAGGTTATGGAGTGTACAAGTTTGGTGTAAGTCCCTCGCTTGCTTCAGCCTTGCTTGAGGCAAGCATGGGACTTTGTTAAGTTCAAGCTTGGAGCATCTCCACTCAGTCATGTAAAATGACCAATTAGTTGTGTATACACACCATATACAATAAAACACAAGGCACTGGGGCATGTAAACAGCCTTTACAAGATACATGGGAGGCATACAGGACCCCTTGACAGGTATCAATAGCTGTCCCATATGACTCCCATTAAACTGCTTTCAAACCATCCAATGCGCACAAGGCTTTCAACTTGAAAATATATGGATAATCTACCAACCCATGAATCACTCCACTGCCAGTTGCCTTGCCCTTGCTCAGCCCTCAACTGCGCAAAACGGTTTATACTATCCACCATGTCCACGTGGTGTTTGCTTCTCAACAAGCACACACAAGTCGCCTTTGGACCTCAAAGGCAGTCTGTGTGTGCTTGCCGTCAGACAACTGCCATAAGGACACAGTGATATGGATATCCATGGCATGCCGTGCTGTGGGTTTTGAGTTTTTCACATGTTTTGTACAATACAGCCTTATTGGCTGTCAAATTCTCATACCAATATGGTCTGTTTTGCAGGACTGGGTGAAGAGGCTCTTACCACCCACTTTGGCGAAACAAATTGCATGAAGAGCTTTGCCACCAGACTGTGTAAAAGCCAAATACAGCTGATATTCACATTGTGTGGGAAATGATCCAAGCCACTGGACCACGTAAACAGCCTGTATGGGCTTCACACTGTCTAACTTTTGACCAGGGGAGTGTAAATTTGGATGGTGTGCAAATACCCAAATACAACCAACAGGGGAACAATGTTCAACATTACTTCTTGTTTTGGAACCTTCAAGCTGTTATATTTGTGGTCAACACAAGAAACATGTCACAGAAGTCTTTCCCTAAGCTCTATTGGGCAATAAACATTTTCACCTCTACAATCATGTGATACAGGCTAGAACCTGCCAACCTTTCAAGGTAGACATGTCTGATTTGCACACAAACGGTGGAGATGCTCTGATATTGTAATGCAACTTTTACATCATGTAAAATCACACAACAGTGTGCTTGTTGGAAAGGTTTGGTAACCAAATACAAAGCAAGATGGCCATGGTGATAATCAAACAATAGATTACAATGATGTCTTTTACCATTTGGTAAATCAGGTCATTGAGTTTA